TTTGTTGTAGTTATTTATTTACAGTAGACTGTCATTTAACACGAGTTTATTTGGCACGATTTGGGTGTAGCATGATTGAAGAATTGCGGCACAGTTTTATGTAACATGTTGTAAAGTTAATTTAACACGGTGGGAGGGGAAAAAATTTTAAGCGTGCTGACGCCTGCGGTTGGTTGCACCATGAGTCAGTGGGGGAGACCTACTGCCACCCTCAGCCACCCACACCACCCTCCCAGCCTTCAGTTTGGTTCACTGTTTCTTTACATACTATTTTAATTGCCATATCTTAAATCTTACTGACTTGACCGAATGACTTACTGACTTGACTGAATAACTTACTGACTTGACTGAATGACTTACTGACTTGACTGAATGACTTACTGATTTGACTGAATGACTTGACTGACTGAATGACTTGACTGACTGAATGACTTGATGGACTTACTGAAAGAGGACCCTGAAACGGTGTCTAGAGCAGCTGATGCCCTACCGTCAGTTGTATAATGTACTGCAGGGTAAAATAGAACAGAAATCCATTACAGAATTTATGCACACTGGAGTACAACTATTGACTTCAGTACCAGAACCTTTACCATCCACCTCAGCCCAGTAGGGCCACAGCATAACTCTCCACTCTCTTCACAATCATTGACAAACACCAGCACCCACAATTTAAGGTAAGAAATACCATTATTTCTATTGCATTTGTAGTCTTAAGTAGTAAAAACAACATAATACATCATGACAATAAACAACAGTTACATATTCCTTTTATTTTTGTAAGATCTGTTGGTCCAAAAAAAGTTTGGCTTTTTGGGGGCTCCCAGGAACATAACCCTATTTTGTCCATGAGTTCTTCAGTTCATCTAACATGGTTTTACCTAACATGGCATTTTCAGGAACGGAACTAGTACTGTGTTAAGTGACGGTCTACTGTATTAGGAAAAACATAAGGAAGGGGATAATCCGGTAGACATTACAGATGTGTGAAATATTGGGCAGGTTGTTAAAAGCTATATAAAGTGTTTTATGAGTAGGGCCAGGGTCTAGACAGGGTATAAGAAGTTAGGGAAATATTTTCCAGTGAAAGTGGGTCTTTTGCAGTTGTGTGATGTCATCATGGTGGTCTAACATATTTATAAATGGGGTTATAAAAGAAGTGGATACTATCATATAGGATAGAGAGGTACAGGTTTAAATAAAAAGGATTCTGGTATAAAGTAGGTGTTGTCACATTGGTACTTGCTGGTGATGTACTACTTCTGGATGATTTGAAAGAGCACTTGCAAAATTGGAGTAGGGAGTTTGGGAGGGTATATAATAGAAGGAAGTTGAAATTGAGCCTAGAACAAGGGTAAGAAGAAATCTAGCTAGTGAACAATTGGAGGAAAAGAGCATGGAAAGTACAGTGGACCCTCCGGATAACATGAATAATCCGTTCCAGAGAGAGTGTCTTATACTGAATCTGACTTAATCCGAATTAATTTTCCTTGTAAGAAATAATGGAAATCCAGTTAATCCATTCCAGACACCCAAAAGTATTAAACAGAATAATTTTTCTACACGAAATATACATTTCCCTACACAGAAAACAATGAGACATGCAGAGTAAAACATTACTAAAATGACACTTACCTATATTGAAGACTTATTAATGAGTGATGAAATGGGAGGAGGGGAGAGGATGGAGATGTATGTAGTATTGTTTGGAAGGGGAATCCCCTTCCATAAAGACTTCAGGTACCAAGTCCTTATCTGGGGTTACTTCCCTTCTTTGTTTTTTAATGCCACTAGGACCATCTTCAGAGTCACTGAACCCCTGTCGCACAAAATATCTGTCCAGAGAGCTCCGTTTCTGGCATCTCTTTAAGATTTCCCTAAAATGGGACACAACATAGTTATTGTAGATGTTGCCAGCACGGCCTGCAACAGCTGTCAGGGTGACGTTCATCCATAAATGTTTGCACATAAGAAAGCAGGAACACTGCAGCAGGCCTGTTGGCCCATACTAGGCATGTCCTTCACAAACCATCCCACTAACAGAATCGTATTTGCCCAACCCAATTTTCAATGCTTCCCAAGCAATAAGCTTTGATAATTCTATTCACTCATGCACAAGTCCCACTCAGGTGTGGGGAAGTACCCTGTCTGGTGTGTGGGGAAGTACCCTGGCTAGTGTGTGGGAAAGTACCCTGGCTGGTGTGTGGGAAAGTACCCTGGCTGGTGTGTGGGAAAGTACCCTGGCTGGTGTGTGGGGAAGTACCCTCTACCACCATCACTACCACCCTCTACTACCACCACTTTCCTATCTTTCTGAAAACTTTTTCTTGAATTCCATAGTGTTTCTCACCCTCTTTACCAAAGGGCTGGCACTAGAAGCTTTCTTTGGGTCCATAGTGGCTTATTTAGCAGTTACAAGCACTAAAAACAATGGAATAACACAAAATGTATCGCATGTACGTGTGGAATTGTCCTCACTGGCTGGTAAACAATGGCACATTGGCTGTACATGGAGTGTCTGGGCCGCTCATGGTGCATGGACACGTTCGGGACGAATGACTTTTACCTAGTTTAGCATCATTAACCGAGCCAATATTTTGACGCAAAAAGTTACTTAATCCGATTATTATTTAATCTGATGACCTCTTAATCCGGAGGTCCACTGTAGTGATGCATTTCCTTACAACCCCATCTATAAATACGTATATTGAACAACCACAGTGACATCACACATACTTGTCTAAGGCCCAGTAAAAGTAGGCCTTACACAAGGATGTGTGATGTCACCGTGGTTGTTCAATATATTTATTGAGAAGTGAATGCGAGGGTCTTTGCAAGAGGTGTGGGGCTAAAAGATAAATAATTTAACACAAAGTGGGAGTTGTTACACTTGCTCTTTGCTGATGACACTGTGCTTTTGGGAGATTCTGAAGAGAAGTTGCAAAGGTTGGTGGATGAATTTGGTAGGGTATGTAAAAGAAGAAAATTAAAAGTGAATATAGGAAAGAGTAAGGTGATGAAGATAAAAAGATCAGGTGACGAAAGATTGGATATCATATTGGAGGGAGAGAGTATGGACGAGGTAAATGTATTCAGATATTTTGGAGTGGATGTGTCAGCAGATGGGTCTATGAAGGATGAGGTGAATCATAGAATTGATAAGAGGAAAAGGGTGAGTGGTACACTTAGGAGTCTGTGGAGACAAAGAACTTTGTCCATGGAAGCAAAGAGGGGAATGTATGAGAGTATAGTTATACCAAACACTTTTATATGGGTGTGAAGCATGGGTGGTGAATGTTGCAATGAGGAGAATGCCGGAGGAAGTGGGGATGTCATGAATGAGGGCAATGTGTGGCGTGAATATAATGCAAAGAATTCGTAGTTTGGAAATTAGGTGGAGGTGCGGGGTTACCAAAACTATTATCCAGAGGGCTGAGGAGGGGTTGCTGAGGTGGTTCGGACATGTAGAGAGAATGGAACAAAACAGAATGACTTCAAGAGTGTATAAATCTGCAATGGAGGGAAGGTGGGGTAGGGGTCGGCCAAGGAAAGGTTCGAGGGAGGGAGGTAAAGGAGGTTTTGTGTGCAAAGGGCTTGGACTTCCAGCAAGCATGTGTGAGCACATTTGAAAGGAGTGAATGGAGACAAATGGTTTTTAATACTTGACGTGCTGTTGGAGTGTGAGCAAAGTAACATTTATGAAGGGATTCTCGGAAACCGGCAGGCCTGACTCGAGTCCTGGAGATGGGAAGTATAGTCTCTGCACTCTGAAGGAGGGGTGTTAATGTTGCAGTTTTATAACTGTAGTGTAAAACACTCCTCTGGCAAGACAGTGATGGAGTGAATGATGATGAAAGTTTTACTTTTTCAGGCCACCTTGCCTTGGTGGGAATCGACCGATGTGTTAATAAAAAAAAATTAAACTAGGAGTAATACTAAAATTATATAGCACTTTTTTTTTTTTTTACCTCAATTACCATCTCATGCCAAGGCAGGGTGACCTAAATAAGGGAACACATTTGCCTCATTCATTAAATCACTGTCCTGTAAGAAGTGTGCTGACATCACAATTCATGTAACCCTCTGACTGCAGCATCCCCACCCCTCCTTCAGAGTACAGGTACTGCTCTTTCTACTTTTAGACTCCAATCTGGCTAACCTTGGGCACCTTGCCTTGGTGGGAATTGGCCGATGTGTTAAAAAAAAAAATATTTGAGAGCTGGTGTGTTGGCAGATAGGCATTTAACAAAGTGGATCATAGAATAGCTGGAGTTTTGGGAGTCTGTGGAAAAAAGTTTATTAATGGATTCAAAATGGGAGAATATTTATCAGAATATAGGGGTTCCAACATTTTAGTGTGGATGCGAGGCATAGTTCTTGAATGTTGCAGCAAGATAAAGGTTGAAGACAGTAAAGATGTTGTGCTTGAGATCAGTGAATTATTATGTAAAGGAGTGAAGTAATTATATTGTGTGGTGATATGTAAGGTATAATTCAGGAAGTGGAAGAAGGTTTGTTGAGATAATCTGTGCATTTAGGAAAGATGGAGCAAGCCTGGTTGATGGAAGGTATAGGGACTGTCCTGAGATGGGTTGACAGGAGAGTGAGGAAGGCTTTATGAGGTAGGGGCTTGATCATCCAGCAGTTATGTATATGCATGCAAGTTTAATAATAAATGGAAACAAGAGGTTTGTAGGAGGGTGATCAAGGTGTAATATCTACAAAGCAGTTTAGGGAGATGAGTTGAGTGAGTGGTAGAAAGTGATGTAGTTATGGGCAAATGCAGTGTTATTAATGTCTATACATGTATGCATTTTTTGTGCGTGTATGTTAGAGAATGTATAAATTTGTGTATGGATTAATGAACCGGGAAGTGTTTTCCTTTTCTAATGAGAGAGATAGAGTTTATTGAGTTAATTACTTTTATTGAAGTGTTATATTTAGTTTGAGATTAATTTTGATGCACATAAGGATAACATTTTCTATATTTTGTATTCCAGTCTACGAGTTCTGTTTCGGAACCTGGGAGTCGTCCTCCATCTCATTACAGAGCTAAGTCAAGTCCTGATCCTCTTGGTCTTCATACCAGTACTGGTGAGTTATTTTTTTCAGTAGTTTTTGAGAACTCTGTTTGGTAATATTGTCATTTTAATTTTTTTTTTTCTCTCTCTCTCTCTCATTTGTGTTTGGGGATATTTAACCTTGAGAATGCTTAAGGGGGGCATTCTTAGTTCCCTTCTGTATTGAAGTTACTGACCACTTTACCTGAAAATTTTATAGGCTTATCAATTATTGAGTTATATTGCATATAAAATTTCATTCTAATTAGAGCAATAGTTTTGGAACTTAATTTTTTCCCCAGAATGTTAAAATGCTCTGCCTTCATAATTATGCATGTTTCACCATAAAATAATTTTTTATGGAAGGAAAGAAGGAAGGAAGGAAGGGTAGGGGTTAGCCTAGGAGAGGTTGGAGGGAGGAGGTAAAGGAGGTTTTGTGTGTGTGAGGGACTTGGATTTCCAGCAAGTGTGCATGAGTGTGTTAAATAGGATTGAGGGGAAGATAAATGGATTTTATGACTTGATGTGCTGTTGGAGTGTGAGCAGGGTAACATTTATGAAGGGATTCAGGGAAACCAGTTAGTCAAACTTGAGTCCTGGGTGCAGGAAGTACAGTGCCTGCACTCTGGAGGAGGGGTGTTGATATGGTAGTTTTTTAACTATAGTGTAGGCATGCCTTTGGCAAGACAGTGATGGAGTGAATGATGGTGAAAGTGTTTCATCTTTCATATTTTCTTTAAAATTTTTAAGACTTGATATGTGACAGGGTCTCAAAGAGCATGACTCTTTGAGTCATTAACAAAAATAGCAGATAAAATAAACTGATGAAATTATTAGAAAAAAATTCTTGAGTATTAGAACCTAAAACTTTCATTTATGGAAAATAATTGACAGGCTTAAAGGTTTTCTTCTTTTTATTTTTGGTAAGCTATACCAGAAAAGGGGTTACTAGCCCATTGCTCCAGGCATTTTACTTGACTTTACTACATGCATGGCTTGCGGAGGAAAGATTCTTATCCACTTCCTCATGGTTATAAAAGGAAAATAATAAGAACATAAATATGCAAGATTACAGGTATGTCTTGCTACTTCTACTTACACTTAGGTCACACTACACATACATGTACACATTTATTTATACACACTCATCTGAGTTTTCTTTGATTTTATCGTAATAGTTCTTGGTCTTATTACTTTTCCTTTTATATCCATGGGGAAGTGGAATAAGAATCTTTCCTCCGTAAGGCATGCGTGTTGTAAAAGTCAACTAAAATGCCGGGAACAATGGGCTAGTAACCCCTTTTCCTGTAAAGATTACTAAAAAGAATAAGAAGAAGAAAATTGTCAAAGTGGGAAGTCTGAATGTGCGTGGATGTTGTGCAAATGATAAGAAAGAGATGATTGTGGATGTTATGAATGAGAAGAAGCTGGATGTCCTGGCTTTAAGTGAAACAAAGCTGAAGGGGGTGGGAGAGTTTCAATGGAGAGGAATAAATAGGATTAGGTCAGGGGTTTCAAATAGAGTTAGAGCTAAAGAAGGAGTAGCAATAATGTTGAAGGATAAGCTATGGCAGGAAAGAGGGACTATAAATGTATTAATTCAAGGATTATGGGAGTAAAATAAAGATTGGATGTGAAAAGTGGGTTATAATAAGCGTGTATGCACCCGGAGAAGAGAGAAGTGTAGAGGAGAGAGAGAGTTTGGGAAATGTTGAGTGAATGCATGGGAGTTTTGAATCAAGTGTGAGAGTAATGATGGTTGGGGATTTCAATGCTAAAGTGGGTAAAAATGTTATGGAGGGAGTAGTAGGTAAATTTGGGGTGCCAGGGGTAAATGTAAATGGGAGCCTTTAATTGAGCTATGTGTTTGAAAGAGATTTGGTAATAAGTAATACATATTTTATGAAAAAGAGGATAAATAAATATACAAGGTATGATGTAGCACGTAATGAAAGTAGTTTATTAGATTATGTATTGGTGGATAAAAGGTTGATGGGTAGGCTCCAGGATGTACATGTTTATAGAGGGGCAACTGATATATCGGATCATTATTTAGTTGTAGCTACAGTTAGAGTAAGAGGTAGATGGGAAAAGAGGAAGGTGGCAACAACAAGTAAGAGGGAGGTGAAAGTGTATAAACTAAGGGAGGAGGAAGTTCGGGTGAGATATAAGCGACTATTGGCAGAAAGGTGGGCTAGTGCAAAGATGAGTAGTGGGGGGTTGAAGAGGGTTGGAATAGTTTAAAAAATGCAGTATTAGAATGTGGGGCAGAAGTTTGTGGTTATAGGAGGGTGGGGGCAGGAGGAAAGAGGAGTGATTGGTGGAATGATGAATTAAAGGGTGTGATAAAAAGAAAGAGGTAGCTTATGAGAGGTTTTTACAAAGCAGAAGTGTTATAAGAAGAGCAGAGTATATGGAGAGTAAAAGAAAGGTAAACAGAGTGGTGAGAGAGTGCAAAAGGAGAGCAGATGATAGAGTGGGAGAGGCACTGTCAAGAAATTTTAATGAAAATAAGAAAAAATTTTGGAGTGAGTTAAACAGTTAAGAAAGCCTAGGGAAAGTATGGATTTGTCAGTTAAAAACAGAGTAGGGGAGTTAGTAGATGGGGAGATGGAGGTATTAGGTAGAAGGCGAGAATATTTTGAGGAACTTTTAAATGTTAAGGAAGAAAGAGGCAGTAATTTCATGCACTGGTCAGGGAGGTATACCATCTTTTAGGAGTGAAGAAGAGCAGAATGTAAGTGTGGGGGAGGTACTTGAGGCATTACGTAGAATGAAAGGGGGTAAAGCAGCTGGAACTGATGGGATCATGACAGAAATGTTAAAAGCAGGGGGGGGGATATAGTGTTGGAGTGGTTGGTACTTTTGTTTAATAAATGTATGAAAGAGGGGAAGGTACCTAGGGATTGGCGGAGAGCATGTATAGTCCCTTTATATAAAGGGAAAGGGGACAAAAGAGACTGTAAAAATTATAGAGGAATAAGTTTACTGAGTATACTAGGAAAAGTGTACGGTAGGGTTATGGTGATTGAGACACTTATGCAGCATATGGGAATCTTTATTCAGGAAACGTTTCGCCACACAGTGGCTTCATCAGTCCAATACAAAGAGGAAGGCGTAAGGAGAGGAGGAGAATGAGGTAATCAGTCCCTCAACCTGGAGTCGATGTGTTCAGTCCATCAATCTACAAGATTGATGGACTGAACACATCAACTCCAGGTTGAGGAACTGATTACCTCATTCTCCTCCTCTCCTTACACCTTCCTCTTTGTATTGGACTGATGAAGCCACTGTGTGGCGAAACGTTTCCTGAATAAAGATTCCCATATGCTGCATAAGTGTCTCAATCTTCAACTTGTCGGTTTTTCAAACAATTCATCACACACGGTAGGGTTATAATTGAAAGAATTAGAGGTAAGACAGAATGTAGGATTGCGGATGAGCAAGGAGGTTTCAGAGTGGGCAGGGGATGTGTAGATCAAGTGTTTACATTGAAGCAAATAAGTGAACAGTATTTAGATAAAGGTAGGGAAGTTTTTATTGCATTTATGGATTTAGAAAAGGCATATGATAGATGTCATGTCTGAGGGCAATGTGTGGTGTGAATATAATGCAGAGAATTCGTAGTTTGGAAGTTAGGAGGAGGTGCGGGATTACCAAAACTGTTGTCCAGAGGGCTGAGGAAGGGTTGTTGAGGTGGTTCGGACATGTAGAGAGAATGGAGCGAAACAGAATGACTTCAAGAGTGTATCAGTCTGTAGTGGAAGGAAGGCGGGGTAGGGGTCGGCCTAGGAAGGGTTGGGGGAGGGGGTAAAGGAGGTTTTGTGTGCGAGGGGCTTGGACTTCCAGCAGGCATGCTGAGCGTGTTTGATAGGAGTGAATGGAGACAAATGGTTTTTAATACTTGACGTGCTGTTGGAGTGTGAGCAAAGTAACATTTATGAAGGGATTCAGGGAAACCGGCAGGCCGGACTTGAGTCCTGGAGATGGGAAGTACAGTGCCTGCACTCTGAAGGAGGGGTGTTAATGTTGCAGTTTAAAAACTGTAGTGTAAAACACCCTTCTGGCAAGACAGTGATGGAGTGAATGATGGTGAAAGTTTTTCTTTTTCGGGCCACCCTGCCTTGGTGGGAATCGGCCGGTGTGATAATAAAAAAAAAAAAAAAATAATATGATAGAGTGGACAGAGGAGCAATGTGGCAGATGTTGCAAGTATATGGAATAGGTGGTAAGTTATTAAATGCTGTAAAGAGTTTTTATGAGGATAGTGAGGCTCAGGTTAGGGTGTGTAGAAGAGAGGGGGACTACTTCCCAGTAAAAGTAGGTCTTAGACAGGGATGTGTAATGTCACCATGGTTGTTTAATATATTTATAGATGGGGTTGTAAAGGAAGTAAATGCTAGGGTGTTCGGGAGAGAGGTGGGATTAAATTTGGGGGAATCAAATTCAAAGTGGGAATTGACACAGTTACTTTTTGCTGATGATACTGTGCTTATGGGAGATTCTAAAGAAAAATTGCAAAGGTTAGTGGATGTGTTTGGGAATGTGTGTAAAGGTAGAAGTTGAAAGTGAACATAGAAAAGAGTAAGGTAATGAGGGTATCAAACGATTTAGATAAAGAAAAATTGGATATCAAATTGGGGAGGAGGAGTATGGAAGAAGTGAATGTTTTCAGATACTTGGGAGTTGACGTGTTGGCGGATGGATTTATGAAGGATGAGGTTAATCATAGAATTGATGAGGGAAAAAAGGTGAGTGGTGCGTTGAGGTATATGTGGAGTCAAAAAACGTTATCTATGGAGGCAAAGAAGGGAATGTATGAAAGTATAGTAGTACCAACACTCTTATATGGGTGTGAAGCTTGGATGGTAAATGCAGCAGCGAGGAGACGGTTGGAGGCAGTGGAGATGTCCTGTTTAAGGGCAATGTGTGGTGTATATATTATGCAGAAAATTCGGAGTGTGGAAATTAGGAAAAGGTGTGGAGTTAATAAAAGTATTAGTCAGAGGGCAGAAGAGGGGTTGTTGAGGTGGTTTGGTCATTTAGAGAGAAAGGATCAAAGGAGAATGACATGGAAAGCATATAAATCTATAGGGGAAGGAAGGAGGGGTAGGGGTCGTCCTCGAAAGGGTTGGAGAGAGGGAGTAAAGGTGGTTTTGTGGGCAAGGGGCTTGGATTTCCAGCAAGCGTACGTGAGCGTGTTAGATAGGAGTGAATGGAGACGAATGGTACTTGGGACCTGACGATCTGTTGGAGTGTGAGCACACTCATCTGAGTTTTCTTTGATTTTTATCTTAATAGTTCTTGGTCTTATTACTTTTCCTTTTATATCCATGGGGAAGTGGAATAAGAATCTTTCCTCCGTAAGCCATGCGTGTTGTAAAAGTCAACTAAAATGCCGGGAACAATGGGCTAGTAACCCCTTTTCCTGTAAAGATTACTAAAAAGAATAAGAAGAAGAAAATTGTCAAAGTGGGAAGTCTGAATGTGCGTGGATGTTGTGCAAATGATAAGAAAGAGATGATTGTGGATGTTATGAATGAGAAGAAACTGGATGTCCTGGATTTAAGTGAAACAAAGCTGAAGGGGGTGGGAGAGTTTCAATGGAGAGGAATAAATGGGATTAGGTCAGGGGTTTAAAATAGAGTTAGAGCAAAAGAAGGAGTAGCAATAATGTTGAAGGATAAGCTATGGCGGAAAAGAGGGACTCAAATGTATAAATTCAAGGATTATGTGGGAAAAAAAAGATTGGATGTGAAAAGTGGGTTATAGTAAGGTTTTATGCACCTGGGAAAAGGAGAAGTGTAGAGGAGAGAGAGAGATTCTGGGAAATGTTGAGTGAATGCTGGGGAGTTTTGAATCAAGTGTGAGAGTTAATGGTGGTTGGGGATTTCAATGCTAAAGTGGGTAAAAATGTTATGGAGGGAGTAGTAGGTAAATTTGGGGTGCCAGGGGTAAATGTAAATGGGGAGCTTTAATTGAGTATTTTGTAGAAAGAAATTTGGTAATAAAGTAATACATATTTATGAAAAGAGGATAAATAAAATACAAGGTATGATGTAGCACGTAAAGAAAGTAGTTTGTTAGATTAGTATGGTGGATAAAAGGTTGTGGGTAGGCTCCAGGATGTACTGTTTATGAGGGGCAAAATGATATTCGGATCATTATTTAGTTGTAGCTTTCAGTTAGAGTAAGAGGGAGATGGGAAAAAGGAAGGTGGCAACAACAAGTAAGAGGGAGGTGAAAGTGTATAAAAATAAGGGAGGAGGAAGTTCGGGCGAGATATAAGCGACTATTGGCAGAAAGGTTTGGGGTAGTGCAAAGATGGGAAAAGTGGGGGGTTGAAGAGGGTTGGAATAGTTTTAAAAATGCAGTATTGGAATGTGGGGCAGAAGTTTGTGGTTATAGGAGGGTGGGGGCAGGAGGAAAGAGGAGTGATTGGTGGAATGATGAAGTAAAGGGTGTGATAAAAGAGAAAAAGGTAGCTTATGAGAGGTTTTTACAAAGCAGAGGAATAAGTTTACTGAGTATACCAGGAAAAGTATACGGTAGGGTTATAATTGAAAGAATTAGAGGTAAGACAGAATGTAGAATTGAGGACGAGCAAGGAGGCTTCAGAGTGGGTAGGGGATGTGTAGATCAAGTGTTTACATTGAAGCATATATGTGAACAGTATTTAGATAAAGGTAGGGAAGTTTTTATTGCATTTATGGATTTAGAAAAGGCATATGATAGAGTGGATAGAGGAGCAATGTGGCAGATGTTGCAAGTACTATATGGAATAGGTGGTAAGTTACTAAATGCTGTAAAGAGCTTTTATGAGGATAGTGAGGCTCAGGTTAGGGTGTGTAGAAGAGAGGGAGAATACTTCCCGGTAAAAGTAGGTCTTAGACATGGATGTGTAATGTCACCATGGTTGTTTAATATATTTATAGATGGGGTTGTAAAAGAAGTAAATGCTAGGGTGTTCGGGAGAGGGGTGGGATTAAATTATGGGGAATCAAATTCAAAATGGGAATTAACACAGTTACTTTTGCTGATGATATTGTGCTTATGGAGATTCTAAAGAAAAATTGCAAAGGTTAGTGGGTGAGTTTGAGAATGTGTGTAAAGGTAGAAAGTTGAAAGTGAACATAGAAAAGAGTAAGGTGATGAGGGTATCAAATGATTTAGATAAAGAAAAATTGGATATCAAATTGGGGAGGAGGAGTATGGAAGAAGTGAATGTTTTCAGATACTTGGGAGTTGACGTGTCGGCGGATGGATTTATGAAGGATGACGTTAATCATAGAATTGATGAGGGAAAAAGGTGAGTGATGCGTTGAGGTATATGTGGAGTCAAAAAACGTTATCTGTGGAGGCAAAAAAGGGAATGTATGAAAGTATAGTAGTACCAACACTCTTATATGGATGTGAAGCTTGGGTGGTAAATGCAGCAGCGAGGAGACGGTTGGAGGCAGTGGAGATGTCCTGTCTAAGGGCAATGTGTGGTGTAAAAATTATGCAGAAAATTCGGAGTGTTTGGGAAAATTTGGAGAAGGTGTGGAGTTAATAAAAGCATTAGTCAGAGGGCAGAAGAGGGGGGGTTGAGGTGGTTTGGTCATTTAGAGAGAATGGATCAAAGTAGAATGACATGGAAAGCATATATAATCTATAAGGGGGAAAGGGAAAAAGGGTAGGGGTCGTCCTCGAAAGGGTTGGAAAGAGGGGGTAAAGGAGGTTTTGTGGGTGAGGGGCTTGGACTTCCAGCAAGCGTGCATGAGCGTGTTAGATAGGAGTGAATGGAGACGAATGATACTTGGGACCTGACGATCTGTTGGAGTGTGAGCAGGGTAATATTTAGTGAAGGGATTCAGGGAAACCGGTTATTTTCATATAGTCGGACTTGAGTCCTGGAAATGGGAAGTACAATGCCTGCACTTTAAAGGAGGGGTTTGGGATATTGGCAGTTTGGAGGGATATGTTGTGTATCTCTATACGTATATGCTTCTAAACTGTTGTATTCTGAGCACCTCTGCAAAAACAGTGATAATGTGTGAGTGTGGTGAAAGTGTTGAATGATGATGAAAGTATTTTCTTTTTGGGGATTTTCTTTCTTTTTTTTGGGTCACCCTGCCTCGGTGGGAGATGACCGACTTGTTGAAAAAAAAAAAAAAAAATTCAGGGAAACCGGTTATTTTCATATAGTCGGACTTGAGTCCTGGAAATGAGAAGTACAATGCCTGCACTTTAATGGAGGGGTTTGGGATATTGGCAGTTTGGAGGGATATGTTGTGTATCTTTATATGTGTATGCTTCTAGACTGTTGTATTCTGAGCACCTCTGCAAAAACAGTGATAATGTGCGAGTGTGGTGAAAGTGTTGAATGATGATGAAAGTATTTTCTTTTTGGGGATTTTCTTTCTTTTTTGGGTCACCCTGCCTCGGTGGGAGACGGCCGACTTGTTGAAAAAAAAAAAAAGAACTATTAAGAAAAAATCAAAGAAAACTCAGATGAGTGTGTGTACATAAATGGTACATGCATGTGTAGTGTGACCTAAGCGCTTTTATGAGACAGAGAAAAAGACACCAACACTTTTACTGTACAAGTTTGTCTTGCACTCATTTGGCAGAACAGTAGTACCTTCCTGGATAGTTGCTGCCTACCAAACCTACAAATGTTTTTTTTTCTTGACGAGCTGTTGGAGTTTGAGCAGGGTGATATTTTGTTAAGGGATTCAGGTTAGCAGGACTCGAGTCCTGGTGGTGAGAAGTACAATGCCTACACTTTAAAGGAGGGGGTTTGGGATATTTGTTGTTTGCATTGTCATCTGAACTGTCACATCTGCGTGCCTCTGCAATGACAGTGATTATGTTTGAATAATGGTGAAAGTGTTTCTCTCTTTTTGGGTCACCCTGCCTCGGTGGGAGACAACCAGCTTATTGAAAAAAAGACAGGCTTTTTAATATTTGCTAGAATCATAAATACTGCTATATTAAAACAATATTATTGAATGTAAGTTTCTAAGTTTCAACCCTTTCCATAGTGACTACAAGTAAACTCTTTATTCTAGTACAAAAGAAACATCGGTGTGATTTTTTTTTAAATAATCTACAGCTCTTCCTTTTGATGTACTGCTTGTGATGTTGCAGTATAGAAATGAAGTGAAAAATAAAATTATTGGATTCTCTTCTAGGTTATGCAAGTGGGAGTGACACACTCACAGATCTTAATATGTCAGGGCCCAGTGGAAATCGTGGCAAAGCATCATCTCTTTGTAATGAAGATATTTCAGTTTTGGAACCCCCAGGAACTCCTCCTCCACCTTATGCATCTGGTTCATCAACTTATGTTTACCCATCTGATGAGGTGGATGAGAATTACTCAACTATAGTGGATGATGTGAGTACTTGGTTGTTTTGGTTTTTCTGTTATTATATATTTTTATTAAATATGTTTAGTGTAAAAAAGTGTATAGTATTGTAATAGTGTTAAGTTTACATGTAACTGAAATTCTATGAAGTCAAGTGTTTTTACTGATATACAATTACTCTTTGCCAATGACAGTTATTTCAGAGATTCTGATGATAATTGCAAAGGGTGGTGGATGAATTTGGGAAGGTATGTAAAAAAAAAAGAAGTTAAAAGTGAAAATAGAAAAGAGCAAGGTGACAAGGGTAACAAAAATTCTAAGCAATGATAGAGTGAGCTACAGATTGGCAAGAGGGACAGTAGAGGAAGTGGATGTATTAAGATATAGGGAGCAAATATGTCACCAGATGGGTCCGTGGAAGATGAGGTCGACCATAGAAGAGATGATGGTGAAAAGAGGTATGTGGTGTGTAGAGGCATCTGTGGAATGAAAGAAGTTTATCTGTGAAGACAAAAAATGAGGGAGGGAGTATGGAAGAAGAGAATGTGTTCAGATACTTGGGAGTGGACCTGTTGGCAGATGGGTCTATGAAAGACGAGGTGAACGATAGAATTCATGAAAGGAAAAGGGTGAGTGGTGCATTGAGGCATCTGTAGAGTCTTAAGGTTATCCATGGAGGCATAGAGGGAAATGTGTGAAAGTTTAGAGGTACCAACTTTCTTATATGGGTGTGAAGCATGGTTTGTGAATGTTGCAGCAAGGAGGAGGCTGGAGGCAGTGGAGAAGTCGTGTCTGAAGGCATGTGATGTGAATATTATGCAGAAATTTGTAACTTGGAGATTAGGAGGAGGTGTGAGGTTGGAGGGCAAAGGGTAAAAGAGGTGTCATATGTGAGGGGTTTAGACATCCAGCACTTGTGTGAACGTGTTAGATAGGGGTGAGTGGAGGTAAGTGGTTTTGTGACTTGATGTACTATTGGAGTGTGAGCAGGGTAACATGAAGGGATTCAGGGAAACTGGTTAGTTGGACTTGTGTCCTGGAGGAGGGAAGTACAGTGCCTGCACTCTGGAAGAGGGTTGGGCATATTTACGATTTTAAACTAGTATCTGCACACCTATCAAGACAGTGATGGAATGAGTGTTTCTTCTTTTACAGGTCAACCCACCTTAGTAGGAGACAGTCAGTGTTAAAAAAAAAAGGAAGGGAGGGGAATTTGTACCATTATATAGTAGTACTAGCACTTTCGTATACGTATAGGTAGTGAAGATGTCATCTCCAAGAGATATTAGTGGTTTGAATGTGGAGAAGGTTTGGAGTATAGTCATTAAAGGATGATGTGGGGTCACCAAGGATGTAATTCTGAGGGTTTAGTAGGGGTTTCTGAGGTCCTCTGGGCATCTTGAGAGGATGGAGAGGGTTAAGATGATGAACAGGATGTGTAAATTTGGGTTAGAGGATAGGAGAGGCAGTGATCATCCCTGGAACAGTTGGAGGGAGGGATGAAGGAGGCTTTGAGTTTTAGGGGCTTAAGCATCCAGCAGGCTTGTGTCAATGTGTTAGATACAAGTGGAAGCAAATGGATTTTAGTGGATGTGCTATTGGAGTGTGAGCCAGGTAATATTTATGAAGGGATGCAGGGAAACCAGTTAGTCAGATAGGAGTCTAAAAGTAGAAAGAGCAGTACCTGTACTCTGAAGGAGGGGTGGGGATGCTGCAGTCAGAGGGTTATATGAATTGTGATGTCATCACACTTCTTACAGGACAGTGATTTAATGAATGAGGCAAATGTGTTCCCTTCTTTAGGTCACCCTTCCTTGGCATGAGATGGTAATTGAGGTAGAAAGGAGTGCTGTATAATTTGAGTATTACTCCAAGTTTAACTTCTTTTTTTTTTTGTTAACACATCAGCCAATTCCCACCAAGGCAAGGTGGCCTGAAAAAGAGAAACTTTCATCATCATTCACTCCATCACCGTCTTGCCACAGGGGTGCTTTACACTACAGTTATAAAACTGCAACATTAACACCCCTCCTTCAGAGTGCAGACACTGTACTTCCCATCCCCAGGGCTCAAGTCTGGTCTGCTGGTTTCCCTGAATTCCTTCATGAATGTTACTTTCCTCACACTCCAACAGCACATCAAGTATTAAAAACCATTTGTCTCCATTCACTCCTATCAAATACACACACTCATGCTTGCTGGAAGTCCAAGCCCCCTCACAAACAAAACCTCCTTTACCCCCTCCCTCCAACCATTCCTAGGCCAACACCTACCCCACCTTCCCTCCACTACAGATTTATACACTCTTGAAGTCATTCTGTTTTGTTCCATTCTCTCTACTTGTCCGAACCACCTCAACAACCCCTTCTCAGCCCTCTGGGTAATAGTTTTGGTAATCCCACACCTTCTCCTAATTTCCAAACTACGAATTCTTTGCATTATATTCACGCCACACATTGCCCTCAGACATGACATCTCCACTGCCTCCAGCCTCCTCCTTGTTGCAACATTCATCACCCATGCTTCACACCCATACAAGACTGTTGGTACAACTATACTCTCATACATTCCCCTCTTTGCTTCCACGGACAAAGTTCTTTGTCTCTACAGACTCCTAAGTGCACCATTCTCCCTTTTCCCCTCATCAATTCTATGATTCACCTCATCCTTCATAGACCCATCTGCTGACACATCCACTCCTAAATATCTGAATACATTTACCTCCTCCATACTCTCTCCCTCCAATCTGATATCCAATCTTTCGTCACCTAATCTTTTTATCCTCATCACCTTACTCTTTCCTATATTCACTTTTAATTTTCTTCTTTTACATACCCTACCAAATTCATCCACCAATCTCTGCAACTTCTCTTCAGAATCTCCCAAAAGCACAGTGTCATCAGCAAAGAGCAACTGTGACTACTCCCACTTTGTGTTTGATTCTTTATCTCTTAACTCCACACCTCTTGCCAAGACCCTCACATTTACTTCTCTTACAACCCCATCTATAAATATATTGAACAACCACGGTGACATCACGGTGATATGCTTTACATAACTAGGAGCATTTTCCCGTAAGGAAAATGATGATAATGTGATGATGGGAGATTCTAAAGAGAAGTTGCAATCGTCAGTAGACAAGTTTGGGAGTGTGTGTTAAGAAAGTTGAAAGTGAACATTGATAATAGTAAGGTGATGAGGGTATGAAACGAGTTAGTTAAAGAAAAATTGGATATCACATTTGGAAGGAGGGAGTATGGAAGAAGTGAAAGTGTTCAGATATTTGGGAGTAGATTTGTCAGCAGATGGATTTATGGAGGACGAGGTTAACTATAGAATTGATGAAGGAAAAAAGGTGAATGGTGCTTTCAGGTGTCTATGGAGACAAAAAATGTTAACCATGGAGACAAAGTATAGTGGTACCAACACTTAAATGGGTGTGAAGCATGGGTTGTAAATGCTGTGGTGAGGAGGAGGCTGGAAGCAGTGGAAATACCATGTCTAATGGTAATGTGTGGTGTAAATATTATGCAGAGAATTCGTAGTGTGGATATTAGGAGGAGGTGTGGAGTTAAAAAGAGTATTATTCAGGGGGCTGAAGAGGGGTTATTAAGGTGGTTTGGTCATTTAGAGAGGATGGAGCAAAATAGAATTGACTTGGAGGGTGTATAAATCTGTAGTGGAAAGGAGGAGGGGTTGGAGACATCCTTGGAAAGGATGGAGGGAGGGGTGCAAGGGGGCCTGGACATGCAACAGGCGTGTGTGAGTGTGTTTGGAGTGAATGGAGACGAATGGTTTTTGGGACCTGATGAGCTGTTGGAGTGTTAGCAGGCTAATATTGTGTAAAGGGATTCAGGGAAACCGGTTAGCTGGATTTGAGTCTTGGAGGTGGGAAATACAATGCTTGCACTTTAAAGGAGGCATTTGAGATATTGGCTGTTTGGAGTGACATCTAAATTGTCTAAACTATTTGGGCATCTCTGCAAAGACAGTGATTATGTGTAAAGGATAGTAAAAGTTTTAAATCATGGTGAAAGTGTTTCTTTTTGGGTCACCCTGCCTTGGTGGGAGATGGCCAGCATGTTAAAAAAAAAAAAAGTGTTGCATCTTGAAAAAATAAAAAATATATGATTATGATAATTACATATAGCCTCTGAGTCTGTCCAGATATTGCTTGTACTACTACTTTTCCATTATATTTTGTAGTTTATGGACTCTCTCTCCTGTTGATAATGGTCTGCCTCTAAATCTGTCTCAGTTTTCTTTGCTGACTCATCATTTATTTTACCATCATTATCTTGGTATTCCTCTATGTTTCACAATTTTTATTTGATCGTATATATCTTTTAAATCAAAGAAATCACTGTCAAGATGTATTTCTTTGTTTACACTGTATGAAAATAGTGTAAAAAAAGTAGCCATACTGCATCTCTCAATTTAGGTATTATTTATGTAACAAACAACTAATGGAAACGAAAGACTTTATCAATAAAGAGTAATTAATGTTAAAATACAATAAATTATAATTAATGTTAAAATACCACAGCTGGAGCAATTCACAGAAACTCGCACTTATCAGCAGGAGAAGAAATTTTAGACTTCAGTTTGGTCCTAGACTGAAATATCATCTAAAGATGAATCAAGAACACAAAAATGATGATTTGCTTACTTTTGGGCACTTACAATGTTGTGGTACTCTTATTGGAAAATGTAATTAATAAGGTACAAGCCTTACTTTGATCAGTTTTTCAGAGAAATATGTAAATACAGTACTGGACTGTTTAACAAAAATCAGAATTGCTCCTCCTGCACTTTAGAGGAGGGGTTTGGGACATTGGTAGTTTGGAGGGATATGTTGTGTATCTTTATACGTATATGCTTCTAAACTGTTGTATTCTGAGCACCTCTGCAAAAGCAGTGGTTAGCTGGACTTGAGTCCTGGAGGTAGGAAGTACAATGCCTGTACTTTAAAGAAGGGGTTTGGGATATAGGCTATTTGGAGAGACATCTCAACTGTCGTATCTAAGCC